GTGCCTGGCATAGAGTAAACCCTATTGAAAGCATAGTTATTCTTCTTCATGTTTTAGATGAATACTACTACACTACTCTTTTTATTACTATCATCATCATCATTATTATTCTATACATTGGGTGAGTTAAGAAAGTGTTTTGGTTTGTTAATTCTCTCCCTTTTACTACCTATTATGCAAATATGTTAAAAAGGGGGAGTAATTTTAGCAACTTAAGTCACAAAGCTTTTAGGGAAGAGTTAGAGAAAGAAAATAGCAATAAAGACAGAAGGAAACCGAGGTTTTGGTAACTGAAAATACATAATTATCCATGAATTCAAGACTTCAGGGCTTTCAAAATATCCACACTAACTACTTCCTAATTTTACATAAGATCAGGCCAGAAGAATATTTTTAGCAAAGAATAGTAAAATCAGAATTCTCTCAAACACAAATTTCCATAAAAATCTAATAACAATGAAAGGTGGAATTTACTATCTTTTTTAAACAAAAAATCTTACTGGGGCCGGCCCGGTGGCACAAGCTTAGTGCGCGTGCTGCGCTGCGGGGGCCTGGGGTTCGCAGGTTCGGATCCTGGGCGTGCACTGACGCACTGCTTGGCAAGCCATGCTGTGGCAGTGTCCCATAAAGTGGAGGAAGATGGGCATGAATGTTAGCCCAGGGCCAGTCTTCCTCAGCAAAAAGAGGAGGATTGGCAGATGTTAGCTTAGGGCCAATCTTCCTCAAAAAAAAAAAAAAACTTACCTATTTACCCTGAATAGATGCTCTACACAGTTGAACACAATTTTCAATAGTGATATTACTTTTTTGGGGTTACAGTTTTTTATAAGGTAAATAAAAATACATACACCAAAGCAATAAAAATAAAATAAAGCAATAGTAAATGAAAAGCCTACCAACTGTTTTCATTTTGGTAAACATTTATTTTACCATTTAAGCTTGAGACTCTTGAGATGACCCTTGGGATAAAGTGACAGACTCAGGTTTGATTCCCTCTGGTATTTCAAACAATACTCCACAAAGTAAGGACCATTTTTGAGGATAAATGACTGGCTAGGAGCACTAATGTCCCAAGGCTTTGCCTGGGGCCTATAATCTCACTAATCATTATTCACAACCCCTCAGAAAAGCCTCAAGCTAAAATTGTGATTGCTATTTAGAACTAAATTTTCAAATTCGTTTTTGAAAATCTTTTCTTCTTCCATGATTTCACTTTTTGTTTAATTCATGTGAACCTTTAGATATCAGTTGCACCAAGCATTAAAACCTAGAGCAACCACCAATCTGTTTTGAGTGTTGCTTTCGTTACTAATTCATAAAAAAGATATTTTAATAACAAAAATGCATAAGGACTACATTGTATAATACATGCAACTGGATATATAAAGTCCTTAAAGGGGATATGAAAAGCAGTGATAATGAAGAAGAGTCTGGTAAATTTAGAATTTTGTAATTCAGTTCTCATAAGCCACCTTTTATTTGAAAGAACAAAATAATTTTTATAAACGCAAAAATGAATTGAGGCATGCAATAGTCCCTGAAAATCACGTAATAAACTAGAGTCAAATCATGCCACAAATTTCTTTAATGAGGCCTTTCACTTTTTTTTACTTAGGATGTAAAAAATATTATTTCTTCCCATCCATCCTGCCAAAACTTTCCACTCTTGCTTATTTCTAGGATTGACCGTTGCAATCCTTTCTCTGTTCTTCCAGTAACTCTGTCTGCTTGAATTGATAGTAAAATACAATTTCTTACTGATTATAACACTTAAGTGTCTCTTCTCTTAAGAACAGCATTTAAGAGTAAGGGCTATGTGTCTCAGACTGCCTTGGTTAGAGTCAGACGCCTTACCTCTCTGTAAAGTGGTAATAATTCTTACCTCAAAATACACTGTGAGGATTAAATGAGACAAATGATTTAAAGTATTTAGTGGATTGTCTGGTACATAGTAAAAACTCAATAATTGGTGTTAATAATAATAACTTTTTAGAATCTTTTATTTTCCTCACTAAATGTCTTCTGAGAAAACCGGAAAAAAACATTCGTATGACTCTGGACAAACTTGAGTTAAACTCTCTGGTCTTTTGTTTTCTCATTCATAAAGTGAAATGATGTAACAATATTAACCCAAAGGTCTCTCTTAACTATAAAAACTTACAAGATTTTACTTAGCTATGACTAAGGTTCAGACTTACTTTCCTTCTCTGCTATTAATATGTATGGACAATTCTATTTATAGTTGAGATTAACTTTGTTTTTGTATGCTTCTTCTTTGAATAAGAACCACATCTGATGATATACTGTACTCTTTCTGGCATTGGTAATCATGGGATATTTTCCTAATTTCCTATGATTTAGGAATGAATGTTCCTATGAACGTTTGCTATTGAACCCCACAGAAGACCCTAAAAAGGTAGTTCTTTCTTCTAAACTGATACCTTAAAATTAATCAGATAATCACATATAACATGTAAAATTTTGTATTCTATCTTATCCAAGGATTTAAAATATATAGTATACCCTAATAATATAGTAACACAATTCACAATTTAGGACAGTACCTTCTGAGGACAGAAAAATGAAATTTATATCGTCATGTAAAAAGAGTTATAGCTTCTAATAAGGCACAACTTTAGTAAAAAAGGAAACTGATGCTTTTTATTAAGATATAGCTTTAGTAACAATAACAAGTATGGGTCATGCAGATATGTATATTTAATCCATGAGAGATGAGCAACACATTTCTTTTGTCACAAGTATTTAGTATAATTAAATTCTTAAAGAGGCTATTTTAAACTCCTAAATTATGTAACACTAAGCTAACACTGATGTTTGGTGTAACATTATAAGTACATTGCAGTGGAAATTAATGATTTCAGCAAGACAAACTGTGGCAGATGTAAAATACAGGTTAGGTAAAATCACCTTTAAAGTTATTGTACATACTGAAACATGAAAAGATAAAATGATTTAATGTCTGGATTTGCTTCAAAATAATACAGGAGGCATAAATTAAACAAGATTAGCCATGAGTTCTTAATTATTGAAGTAAGATTGAAGTACATGGGGGTTCATTATACTATTCTGCCAAATCGTCTGTGTTTGAAACTGTCCATAATAAACAGTAAAAAAAAAAAAAAAAAAAAGCCAATGTACAGAAGGATACCAAAACCAGAAGCCAAGAAGAAGAGGACAGATTTAACCTCATAAAATGCTAATCTTATACGGTAAAAATAAAGCACACAAAACAAAAATAAAACATCATAACAAAACATGAAAAAATGGGTAAACACAATTATAACACGTGATTTTTTTTTGTGAGGAGGACTAGCCTTGAGCTAACATCTGATGCCAATCCTCCCCTTTTTACTTGAGGAAGATTGGCCCTGAGCTAACATCCGTGGCCATCTTCCTCTACTTTATATGGGACGCCGCCACAGCATGGCTTAACAAGCGGTGCATCAGTGCATGCCCGGGATCCATACCTGCAAACTCCGGGCCCTGCAGCAGAGCTCGCGCACTTAACCACTTATGCCACTGGGCTGGTCCCTACAGTGTTAATATTCTTAATATGATTCTTAATTCTTATCAATCAAGAAAAAACATCAAAGACCCCAAGAAAAATTTGGAATGGGGCATAAATGAGATAGTCATAAAAGAAATATAAGGGACAAATAAAAATATAAAAAGATATTTCTCCCACTAGGAATCAAATAAATGAAAATTAACATGCCATACACTTTTCTCATTTCCGGTTTATTTAAAAACAAAAACAGTTAATACCAAATGACAAAACTATAGAGAAAATGGCACACTCATACACTGTTGGTAGAAATGCAAATTGGTAGAGCCTTTCAATATATTTACCCTTTGACCCACCAATTCCATTTTTAAGAATATACCATAAGCTAGTATTTTCCAAAGTGTTTAGTGGGATATTGAGAGATCTTATTTTTTGTGTGTGTGTACGTGTAAGTCTAAATTTAATTTTAAGTGTAAATTTATACAATGGCATTAAAAAAAATTTTTCCCCTTTTTAAATTTTTTCTTTTGCTATTTTAAAAAGATAGACTTTAATTTTTAGAGCAGTTCTAGGCTCATGACAAAACTGAGTGGAAAGTACAGAGATTTCCCACATTCCCCCCACCCTTACATATGCACAACTTCTCCAACTATCAACATCCCGAAGACAGACGTTATTTTAAGAAAGGATTCTATAGTCAAATAAGTTTGATTTCTAAGATCTTAGTATACTACTCTACATTGGTATTCTCCAATATGATGAATAATAGACAGTGTTTCCTTATGTTATAAGCCATGAAATGCTTTATCAGAGAGCATTCTTAGGAACTAAGGTTCTGCAACACTTACTTTTGGAAATCGTCCTAAAAAAATCATTAGACATGAGTACAAAGATGTATGTACAAGGATGTTCACTGAAGTCATGTTAACCACAGGGAAAAATTGGAAACATCCCTAAATACTCAATAATTGGAAAGAGGTTACATAATTTATGTTATATTCTTAAACTGGACCATTGTACAACCATTAACAATGGTAATGTGGATGATATTTACGTGAAAAATGCTGCAATAAACTGCTAAGTAAGAAAAGCGTTCTAGCCAAAGAGCATTTATATCCTATTTTTTCTAGTCAAAATCATAATAATTATATAAATACATATATTATACATCATATACTTACATATCAATAAATTCAGAAAGACATACATCAAAATATAAAGAGTAGTTATCTCAAGGTGGTAGGATTATTATACTTTTCTATATCATCCGTTTTTTTTTATAATGAATGTGTATTAATTTTACAATAGAAATATTTTTTGGAGGTAATGTGTTTATGTATCTTGACTGCTTAGAGACATCTGGCATTTTAATCTATAGATGTGAGATGCTTTTCATATTTAGTAAAAATTAAGTTCATAGACAAGAAAACTATAATTATATAAAGAATTCATGGAGAGAAAACACAATTCCTACCTTCTGGAGAGAAACTGATAAAAACATAACAAGTGCTGTGAGACCCAGCAGCGTAATGGAGGCGGTAAATCTCTAGATGCTCTATGCCTTTATGAGACCCTATAAGGGAGTACCTCTTCTCTCTGTAACAGAAACGACATAGACATACACATTTATTTAAAGGAGCAGCTGAATGAAAACCATCCTTAAGTACAGACTGGAGCTATACAGGATTGCTGTGTTCAAGTGGGGTCTCACGGTTGGAAATATTGCCACTTACTTGCTGTATGACCTTGGGAAAGTTAATTACCTTCTCTGTGCCTCAGTTTCCTCATCTGTAAATGGGGATAATAATAGTACTTAACTAGAAGGGTTATTACAAAGATTAATATTCATAAAGTACTTATAACGGTACCACACACCATAGTATGTGCTATATATGTGGTTTTTTAAAAGAAATACCTGGGTGGGGTTGATTATATTAACAGAAACCTTTCACAGAGCATATTACTGTCAGTGACATTTCACTTCTGTTAACATCTCAAATAATTCTCACCTCAATGCTGTGAGGTAGATATTATAATCATCTGGCCCTCAGTTTTGCAAATCAGAAACTTGATTTTGTCAGCTCCCCAAACTGTTACAAACACACAAGAAACGGATCAATTTAAAAGGGGAACTTTTTTGTTGTTCCAAAATGACAGCCAATGGATTGGATACAATAGTATTTACTGATATCTGGTCTATTTAAGTACCAAACCACTTAGAAATTACCTGATTAGTATAAAATTAAAGCAAGGAGAACTGAAAACTCAAATTGGACCTTCCATCAAGCCATAGTATTGTGCTTGTCTAGTGTGTTAGCAATTTCCTCTTACTCTTGATATGATCCCTTGAGAAGGTACTGCATCACCAATGGAGTATTCTTGCCAAGAATGTTTAATCTGAATCTAACAATAATAAAAAACATTCAGAAAAATCTAAATTAAGGGATATCTTGCAAACAATTAGCTCAGACTTTTAAAAAATGTCAATGACAACACAAAAAGATTGAGGATTTCTTTAGATTGTAGGAGATTAAATGGATATGACAAGTGAATAATTGCATGATTCTTGATTGGATCTTGGATCAGGGAGAAAAGTACAGCTATAATTACTGGACAATTGGGAAATTTAAAATACAGACTTTCAAAATCTTTATCAGTTAATACATTTAAAATTAACTTAAGTGGTTTACTCCTACAGATAAAATTATTCATTCATGTATTTATATTTGTCATAATTTATTAAATACCTATTCAGTGTGATAAACCTGCAAATAACAAAAATTCTTGCAAGTAACAGACCCTAAAATATAGACTTGGCTTGGCCAAAGGGGTCAGATGAAGGACAGTGAGGACTCCTCTATCTGGCAAGTTAGCAAAGGAGCTAAACTATCAACTGTTATATGCAGGACTCAAGTCATCTTCCTATTGAAGTATTTTCCATTCTAATGGAAGGGAATAATTCACAATGTTGGAGCAGGTTGCTATTTCATGCAGCTTTCAGTAAAGTTCTATAAGAAAGAGTGGCACATCAGGAAGCATAGAAGGAAAAACAAGATAGCTTTGCCAAAAGAGCTACTTTCTGTCTGTGGCTGAGAAACAGATGATCTGGAGTCTGGCAGAATTGAAGAAGCCAAATTATAAATATTTTATAATTATCGTTTATTTATTTTTTGAATAGGTTATTTGCATGATATAGAACTTGAAAGATATAAAAAGGCAGTGAAAGGGCCGGCCCCGTGGCTTAGCAGTTAAGTGCGCACGCTCCGCTGCTGGCGGCCCGGGTTCGGATCCTGGGCGCACACCGACGCACCGCTTCTCCGGCCATGCTGAGGCTGCGTCCCACGTACAGCAACTAGAAGGATGTGCATCTATGACATACAACTATCTACTGGGGCTTTGGGGGGAAAAATAAATAAATAAATAAAATAAAAATAAAAAATAAAAAGGCAGTGAAAAATTTCTCTTCCAGTCTTGTCCCCCAGACATCTGTTTTCCTTTCCCAGAGGCAACCCCCATTACGAGATTCATGTATTCTTCAGAAATGTTTAACTCATTGCCATATCTACACATGTATTCATAGAAACTGAGCAGGTTGTACACACTGTTCCATACCTTGCTTTCTTCATGTAATGTTTTGTAAATCGATCATTTCAGTACATATTGAGCTGCCTTATCACATATTACTATTATAAATCTTATACCATAAAAAGAGCAGACAAGAATGCAAGAGGATATAACAACTATTTTCACATGCAAAGGAAATAAGATACTGCCATGAGGCAGGGAAGAGCACCGAGGTGTCTGAGTAGAGAGTAGTGAAGACGATGATTGAGGAAGGTACCTGGGAGGATTGGTCTGAAGACATCTTTGGATTCTTAGCATGCCAGTGCTTTGTGGCAGACGATCTGAAAAGTTACTGAAGCCTCTGCTGTGAGAGGGGTGCGAAAATGGCTAAGACTGAGCTGGCAGACATAAAGGAGACTGGGGTTTGAAAAAACAGGGCGAAGAGTGCATGGTCGCTACAACTGGAGATCATGGTGAGGATCATGGCAGTAGATCCAGTGTATGAAGTCCAGAGGTCAACCAAGAGGAACTATGCCTTGGTGGATGCTGGCACATGGTGCCAAAATGCCAAGGGCCAAGCAGTAACTCAGCAGAGACCAGCAAACAGAGAAGAATATGGAAACCTATACTCATCCATTGATGTCAGGATGATATGAATTTCCCCAGGAACTTGGGGAAGAGTAAAAGGAAAGGAGAGAGTAAGGGGTAGGAGAAGAATCTTAGTTTAAAGCCTAAATTGACTCAATTTTAATTTAGAAGTAACCAAGCAACTACCAACTGGTAAGATTTAGTTTTCCTATATCTGTGGAAATGGTGGTGGTGGTGGTGGGGTGCCAGGAAAAGGCGTTTGTGAGATAAGTCAATTTTAGATATAGGCAAACAATATTTTACACACAAGATAAACAACTATAAAATTTAAACCTACATAGCCAACTCAAAGGGCTGGTATAAGGATTCAATGAAATGGTTATACAAACAATAAATGGTATGATTTTTTGGTTACAATTTCTGATAGTAACCTTTCTTTGATTTCTCGCCAAGTTCTGGATACCTTTAATGCAGTCCCATTATTTCAGATCTTATTATACACACTCACTTCAAAAGAGTATTAGCTTTGAAGTAGGTAAATCCTGGGTTCAAATTCTACATTTGTCACCCACTAGCTGTATGAATTTGGGGAAGTAATTTAACTTCTCTGAGTTTCTGGGTCTTTATTCATAAAACAAAGTGTGATAATCAAAAATTATTTAAGGCATGTATTAAGATAATGAAATGTACATAGGACATTGTCTGTAATAACAAAAAATTATTTCATACAGGTATTAAGTAAGATAATCAAACATACTACATAGCACATTGTTTGGCCCATGACTGGTGGACCTACTTCCTTTCTCTAAAGTTTAAGCTATGTCACCCAGTTTTTGATTTAGAAAATGTAATCATCTTGTCATATGTCCTGACTACAAGAGATTGAGCTCTGTAATATATGGCTCCTAGTTATTGTTCCCAGGCTGATGAAGTAATGAACATCTCCCCATGCTATGAAGGAAGCAAGCCTGTGTCATAATAAAAGCATTTAAATATAAAATATATGATACACTAATAGCAATCTCCTCAAATCTTACTCTAAGGATTGGATATACTAATTTCTCATTTTCTCCAAATAGAAATTGTCTTTTTTAAAAAGGTATTTATCTCAAATTTAACAAATGTTAAAAAGAAGAAACTACTCAGTAGACAATAAAATCAATAATATTGATTTCTGGTTAAAGATGGTAGATTGAACATACACATAAATTCCATCCCGTTTGAAAACCACATTAAAATATAATACAATATTAAATATTTTATTAAAAAACATAAACCAAGAAAGAAAAGGAGAACAAGAGATGAATGATAACCAAAATTTGGAAGCTAGAAGGCAGAAGGACTATAGCTAACTGACTTAGCAGACTCAAGCAAGTTGAATCCTAAACCAGCAGTAGGTAAAGCTGGGAAGCAATTTTATTTGCACTAGTTTCCAAAAAGCTTAGGGCTTGGCACCCAGACTTATGGAAGTGGTTTAAAGGTGGAAATAAGAGCAAGCCTGGTTGGAAGTCTATTTAAGAATAAGTCTCTTACATTCTGTCTCTACCATTCTGAACAAGTACCCTCCCTGTCTCATCCTAGCAGAAGACTAAATGTTTATTCTTTGGAGTGGGTAAAACAGAAGGTTCCTGAACTGGGAAATTCTGAAGAATTCTGGAGGGCAGAGTAGTCTACAGAAAACAGAACTGAATGAAATTTTATATGCTGAATATTGAGACTTCCAAGTCCTCTTCTACTTGGTTTGCAGAATGCTAGCAGCCCATCTCATAACATTTAGGCAGGAGTGTGGAAGGTTCTTCTTTGGTGAATCTAACTGGACTAAAAAGAAAGGTGTTCATTAAAATGATATTGAAGGTTTCTGAATAAAACCCTAGTCAAATCTAGGAAACTCATGGTCATTAAGTCCCAATTATGTGTTACCTAGGCATCCCCCTTTCTTACTACCTTAAATATGAGCTGACAGCCAATGACAACTAGACATCTGAGGAAAGCCCTTAATATGAAGATAGAGCCTAAAACAAACAAACAAACAAGCAAACAAACAGGAAATAGAACTATTCAAGGAAATAAAACTGCAAACAATTTTTTTTCTTCAAAGAGAAAAGAAGGACTGTATCCACGAAACAATAACAGATTGCTAAAAAAAAAAAAAAAAAAAAAGAACATTCAGGGAACAAGAAAATGCTGCTGGGAAACAAAATTATGATAGAAATGGAAAGTTCAATAGAAAGGTTGAAAGATCTCCCAGCAAGTAAAGAGACTAAGAGAAAGAACATGGACAGAAAGGATAAGAAAATTAGAAGACCAGTCTAGGAGGTTCAACATCCAAATAACAAAAAGAAAAAATGGAGAGAAAGAAATCATCAAAGAAGTAATTCATGAAAATTTTCTTGAATTAAAGAACATGAATGTCTAGATTAAAAGGGCTCACTGAGTACCT